CTGCAATCGAGATAACAGAGGCGAGAATGGAAGAGTGATGTTTGTTCTTTCTGCAAGGAATTTTGTTCTTAATGCAGAAGGAATCATTCTCTGCATTGAAAAAGAAGAACTTTTGCTACCAATGAGATCTTGCTGGGTTCAATGTAGTAGATCCAAAACACTGAATTTTTTGGATTGACACAAAATAAATAAATAAAGAAGCCATCCATGCATTTCCATTAAATGAATTATTCTAAAACAATTGGAGTATTCAAATCAGGAGTCAAACTGCACTGAGTCCTACCCATCCTCTTCCAGTGATGAATTAGATTTGAGAAATATTTATACTGAAAAGGCTTAGGAAAGAAATGAAAATAAAGACCCAAGAGCCTTTGATTTAAAATGAAAAACAAACAAAAATTTCTAACGACTTTGAAGAAAATGATTTAAGAAATATAATGCTCTCTTGCAAGACCTTCTTTTGGAACTTAAAAAATCTAGCCTGAAAAGTTAAAAGAAGTATCCTAACAATACAGCACTTCCTCCACTCAAGTCAGTGGAAAAGACTCTCAGCTCTGAAGTTCTCAATTGATCTATGGTCCTTTGTAAAGATCTTGCCGAAGCATACTTTTTCTTAGAAATTACCAATGCCAGGTTTTCCATTTATAATAATCTAATTAAGATAAACAATTTCCATCCATGAAGTTTTCTGTACACTATTCTTCTATAAGCTGCAACCCTTACATTTTTATTGCAACCAACTCCACACATAAGCTGCACCCCATGTATATATTTTTACATATGTATGAGGGTGTTGGAGTCTTTAAAATTCCAGGAGTCTGACATTTTTGCAACCAACTCCACAGCCCTGGCTGCAAGGGAAACTGTTCCATGCTGATGGACTGAGAATGGCCATACCAGCGGGGGATAAAGCAAACCTGCAGCTGTTAACTAGGGAAATTCATATGGAAATTCTGCCTTGTGATTGGTCTCAACATAAATGACATTTGGGCATTAAATAGCATCAGTGACTTGGGAAGCAGCATTCCTTTTCAGTGAATAGTAGTGTCAGATAAGGAAGCTTTTTGAAATGTGTTTATAATATTTTTAAAGTTACATTGAGTACAGCTTTGTGTTTTCAAAGATGTAGATTAATAAAATGAAGTTTATTCATCCCTTATTACAGATTTTTTTTTCACTTTGTGCGCTATGGAGCAGAGGGTATTACTAATAATCGTAAGAATATATAAGACAGATATCCCCAGATCACTCTTAAAAATGAGGCCAAGCATAGATTGCACAGCATGTTGTAGTATATATGAAATAATTGAGTACTTGTGGTAGTTGCACACATTACTTTTGCATATGTTACCTCATTGGTGTTTCTCAGAAGCTATTGGTGAATTGCAGTTGTCCTCCCAAGTGGATTTTAGACATGCTGAACTGGGTTTGTGTCGGTATCTGGTTGGTCATTCTATCCGCGGAATATTTTCACCATGAAGATATTCATTTGCCATCTAAGTTCTGCATGAATGTAACATTTCCTTCTGTAAAAGGCAACTAAGAGCCAACAGCATACCTCAGAAATCACACACATTAAACTAAGATCAACTCTGTATATCCGTTTGCAGTTAGGGATCCTGTATTGAAAATATGTAGCCATGTGCAACCATTCTATTTGATGGCTGCTCAGATCATGACATCTCTGCTGCCATGGTAGTCCCTCACCATGATATTGAAGAAATAGTGTAAATTTTCATGTCTGTAGATATGAAGGTGTGTCAAGAATCAATAGCTAGACTGAATCTAGACTCATCACTGAAAAGAATTCAAACCCATTGGAGTTAGGACCAACTGATGTTCACTGCACCATGCCAAATGCACTTCTTATATGGGGATAATGAAGATGCAAACAACAGGTCTTCTGGAAAAAAGCATCTTTCATGAAGCCTACAAGAGACTATAATCTCTAAAACTAAGATTTCAGTGCCAGCAAAGGAACATGGGGCTGTAGCAATTGCTTATTTGCCAAATATTGATTTTTATTAGGTGTTGGCTCTTAGAAGCCCTTGACTAGGGTTTCTAGTATGAATCCATCCTCCTGAAACGGTGTCCACAAACTGTAGACAACACTGAATTTTCCTGAAACATGAATTTGGGATTGCTTTGTTCCTAATCTACTAATGATTTTGTACTTTATTCCATCATCTGAATGTTGTTAATCACTCATTCGATCACATTACATATGAAATTTAACAAAACTCTATAACAAATGCTATGATTATTGCAGACAGGTACAGATTAATCATGCACTCAATAAATTTCAGAAAACAGTGCAAAAATTGTCTGTTTTCTTAATTATAGAATTTGAAAGAAAACTGCATGGTTTGATGAAAAAAAATCATTCATATGTCAAAAATGAAATTTATATAGGGTGTTTAACAAAGGACCCCTAACTTTGAAAATAAATACCTCGGAAACAGTGATAAATAGAAGCATGGACCGGGTAATATCTTTATTAAAAAACTGCTAAGAATCTGATACTCAAAATTTTAGTTACAAAATGTGTCTATAGATGGCGCTGCTCGTGGATTTACAGATCACTGTAAAGAAAGCTTAGGCACTGAAAGAGACCAGTCATCAAAGATTTCACTGTTGAAACATGACTATTATTAGCATATAGTGAAAGAAATTTTAGAAGTGATATATTCAGTAGGGGAATGTACATTTATTCTCTTAGTGTACCATGGATTAAATCACAACCCTAGGGCCACAAGGAGTTTTCATACACAATTTCAAGTCGCAGAATGCCCAAGTGGAAAAACAATTTGTGAGCTATTTAAAAGACATGAAAATGTAACAGCTTTTGCTGCAGTTATTGAGTATCATCCTAATAAATGTCTACAGACTTACAATTGAATCTGAAATCATTCCTTCTAGCATGTACAGAATTCTGTGGGAGACATAACACATGTACAAAATTCAATGCAGGCATGCCATACCAGTTCGAGCTGAATCACCACAAGAGGAATTTTGCTAATAAGATGCTTGACTTTGTTAATAGTTCTGTTTTCGATGTTGGCCAAATGTGGTTTACAGATGAGGCACACTTTCATCTGGAGGTGGTGTTAACAAACGCAGTTGGCAATTTTAGGGTACTAAAACCCCATATTTGTTGCACAAATGACCACTCCATTGCCCAAAACTTACTGTTTGAGCTGTAGTCTCCTACAAAGGCATCACTGGATTCTTTTCTTGTGAAAAATGATAATGACTGACCAGTATATTGGGCTTTTGAAAACATTTTTCTATACTCAACAAGCGTTGGACAATTGACCAACCACTGCGTGATTCATGCAGGATGGGGCTCTTCCTAGATATTTTTGACTTTTTGGACTAATACTTGAATGACAGAATTATTGCGTTGAACTATTCGACAGTTGAGGGAGAAGGCATGGATTGTTTTCTGTATTTACTGTCACTTCCTTGTGACTACTTTTGTGGGGCACACTGAAGGATATTGTATACTGCAACAATCCTTTTAACACTTTAATTGGAGGATGCTATTTGTCAAGCTTGTGTGTTGATTTCAGGTGATACATTTCAGAGAGTTACTGACAATTTTATTCTTCATTTGTAATCTGTATTGTGTAAAAGGAATTTTTAATCATTTTTTATGTAAATGCAACAAGGTTGCATTACGCACTATGTACATTGCATAATAATGCGTGCCATATATTGGCACAATTTGTAACTGAGATTTTTAGCTTTCTGTAATTAATTAAAAAGCTGTAAGTATATGATAAATATACTTACAGCTTTTTAATTAACATTCCACTGCTTTCATACTTCTATCTATTATCATTCCTGAGTTATTTATTTTCAGCGTTCTTTCGTCATTAGACATTAAGTAATAATAATTTTTTCCCCTTTGTCTGACTTCAAATATTTTGTTGTTTTTGAATTCCTTTTATTGTTTCCAGTATGTATATTTAGTATTATTATTTTGTTACATTTTTTGTATATATTAGAGTGCTTTTCATTCGTAATCTTTCATATTTGTTCACTGAAAGCATTTTTCATTATCTGGAAATTTTTATATAGCATTTAATTTTTCTTTTTTGGGTTAATTTTGAATTTTTAAAGTTTTTAAAATTTATAATACCATTGTGTAGTCCATGCCTACATATTTTACATGTAAAAAGAATGTAATCTGTAGTTCAAAAGTCGGCAACACTTTTGGGATGCAGAACATTTTTCTCTAAAAACAATCGATTCTTTTCGATTGTCCCCACCCCCACTGAAAAGTTGCATAAAAATATTCATGTGACAAAGCAGCATGTCACCAAAATAGTAATGTAGCAACCCGTTGATGTCACCAAAAAGTATTTATGTGTCAGTGCAGGTGTACATTTAACTTACGTTTGTTTTGGCTCATGTGCTATGCTGATATTGCAAGATATCGAGTTTTTGCAAGTCTCTTGATTTTTTTAAAACTAAAACAGATTGGTGTGTACATGGGAAGAACAACAGTACAAAAAAGGATTTTTTTGAAAAGATTAAGTGTTTTGCTTATGATGTTTCATACTTTTTTAATGATTGAGTGCCTTTGTGTGGAATTCTTAATGTGCCACAATTTTGAAGAGGGCTGTTGCCTTTCATGCAATACTTTTTCAAAAAATTAGTTACCAAGAAGTTCATGAATGCTCTCCAAAGTTGCCATAATGTTTGCAAGTTTTTAGGTGGTGAAGCAGATAATAAGAGATTACCAAAGAATGCTATTCTAATGTTAACTTTGAAGTTTAGTAATGATATTTTGGTTGAAGCGTTTGCTACAGTTATTATTAAATTGTAATATCCAGCCCCTTTTAATTAGAAATATTAACTATATATTGTAAATATTAAAGTTAAAATTTATTTTAATCTTTTGCGCACAGTATATTTTAATCCTTATGAAATAGGATATAGTATTCTGTTTATGGTTCGAGTTTACAAATTTATTGTATATGATTATTTTCTAGACGTACTCAAACATCTTCACTGCATAAGTTGGAGCAACATGCAGCAAGAAGGAACCCCTAAGTATTTGAAGTTTCATCAGGGCAGTGTTCGAGGTGTTGCTTTTAGTCCTAGGGTGAGTATTAACATAAATTTTGTTTTGTAAAGGCATTGGTTTTATCCCAGCTTTAAGGATATATAGTTCCTTAATGCAAAACATTTGAGAAATTATCAGACTTTAATATAAACATGTTACATAGTTTCATTTTTGGCTGAGACTTGAGAAAGTTTTCTCTTAATTATAACTATGCACTTGGTGGAAAACTAGTTAAACTTCAGAATGTGAAATATTTAATTTAATGAAACATATCATTAACTATGAATTATGTATTAAAGCTTTATCTGAAGTAAGTGGTTAAAAATATCAGTGTTGATAATTATGAGCAGTGTGATTGACTTTTATGAATGTAAAAAACTTGAATAAGTTTCTTGACTGTATAATATTTATTATGTAGTAAAAGTAGGTTCTAAGTATCTGCTAAAAAATTTGAAATATAAGAATACCAATGATGGTATAAGCTTTTCCTTAATTGTATATTTTGGAGTGATGATGTCTGTAATTATTGGGTCAGTCCATAAAATTTGTGCACATTTTTTGGTAAATTTTTAAATAATATAAAAAAACACAATTTAACATTTTAATCAATTATATATTTTCTACCATTATCTAAAATGTCTCGCCATCTTACAGGCAGCTTTTTTTATGCCATTGCTGTAGAAAGACTGGTTTTGATGAAAAAAAAAAAAAAAAAAACTTGAAAGTTCATTGTGTACATCCTGTTTAGAATTTAATTTTTTGCCCAGTTAAAAAATTTTGTAAGGCACGGAATAAGTGAAAATCACTTGGGGCAATATCTGGGGAGTAAGCAGGATGTGGGAAAAGCTCCCAATTAAATGCACTAATTTTTTGCAGCGTTGTTCGAGCCGTATGTGGTCTAGTGTTGTTATGATGAAACAGCACTTTCTTGATATTCACCAATCGTGGACATTTTTTTGATCAATTCTGAGTTTAGACGGCAAAGCTTTTCACTATAAACTTCTGAATACATTTGATTTGGTTCTAACAGTTCAAAATGTCCTTAACGGGGTTCATCCTCAATGCTGGTTTTTCCAACTTAAAATTTTTTATTGTACATTCATCTTCTATGGGTACTAAAATGCATTCAATATTTACGAAAGTTGGTGATGAACTGAATAATATGTTAGTCAAACGATGACAAGTTCCAACAGGTTCAAAATTGTACTGTTTTAGTAAATGCATCATAGTGAACTTCACACATACTCTTAATGTGCATGAACTTATGAACTGACCCGATAAATTAGTTGTGAATGAAATTTAACTGCAATTTGTTTATTATCCCCAAAGTAAATTTATGTGCAATGTTTTCTTTTGCCATTATGTTCTTTTTAATATTGCAGCATTTTAGTAAAATTCAAGATTTGTAGGTCGATGATAATTCATAATTAAAAGTTTTTATTCAGTTTTACTTTCTGAAATAGACCAAACTGTCCAAAATGGATGTAGTGAAGTATGCCATAACTTTTCTACTTTTAATGTTAAAAGCAAGAACTGACCTATTGAAACACGTTATAGCCTGTACTCTTTTATAATTTATATTCTTACAAAATGCACTGGATAAAATATAAAGGAAGTAACTGAAATTAAACAGCATATTTAAAGGTTTTGAATTTGTGCAGATGTTAAAATGTAATTAATAGTTATTATTTTCAAAAAATTTTTAAATAAATATCATTATATTTGAATTGAAATTTTGAAATCAGGAGGTGGTACTGGAGCAGGAATGTGGTACTGGAGCAAGTGTATTTGTTTGTTCCAATGGTTTTTAATTTCATAGGTCATTAAATGTTTTTTTACTGTAAAAAAATGCCCTGTAAGCATTTTTCTGCAAACTTTTTATCACTAGAATGTATGTAGAGGCAACATTTAAGCATACTCCCACACATTTTTTAATACCTTAAAAATTATCTGTGGTGTCTGGAAGTAAAATATTGCTGACCTATATTAATAAAATGTGAAAAAGTTAATGCCTTTCATGAAAATTATTCTAATGGGATTAATTTATTTATGGTGTGGTTTGAAATTTCATGATGACTACCTTAATCTTATTGAATTTTTTCAGAGAAACAAACTTGATAATGTTCTAAATATCAACACTTTATTGAAATGGAACACAAACATCCATTTTAGATACAAAGTTACAAACTTGAACATTGATTCGTAGTTCCAAGTAAATGCTGAAATTCCCATTTGTCGATAGGTCTATATGACATACAAAAACAAAAGGAAAATCTCATTTGAAGGAAGAAGGGAATTAGTCTGCACTCTCACATAATGCTCTAATGCAAATGAATGAATGTGATTTCACTTTTGCCAGTCAGCAAAGTGATTTTCTTAGAGTTTTTAGTCTTTCTCACTTAAATTATTTTATAAGCGAATTTTTTCAGAAAAACAAGTTTCTTCCTCACTTAGGTTATTTTGGGAGAAATTACAATAAATTTTGTCTTCCTTCAGTACTTTTCAGTTTCAGTTCTTATTTTTATTTATTTTATTTTATTTTTATTTATTTATTTATTTTTTTATGATCTGAAGGAATTGCCTTAGAATAAATACCTAACTGTAACCGTTATTTGGTTTCTTTACAAGTTCTAGTTCAAATGCTTTGCTGTGCTTTAAATAATTCAATTTCTATAGTTCCAGTTAAGTTATCATTGGTAGATATATCATAGAAGTATAATTTTAATTCCCAGTAATGCAGTTGTTAATCTTACCTGATAATACTGCTAAATTTTGAGTATGCATATACAAATTAACCTGTAGAACACTTGTATTGTATTACTGAATGTATAGCATCAAAATGTGGTTTGAATACAGGCATTTTTAAAGCATTTAAATTTATATAGGAACCTTTGTTTTTTAAAAAATGGCATTAGGTATAGTTTTTGGAAGGCAATTATTATATGCATGTTTACGTCCTTTTTATTCTTTTTGTGCTAAAGACATTTCATTTCCCCAGTCTCTTATTAGAATTTTAACTATTAAAGAGAAATGTGCAAATCTCATTTTGGAAAATGATGTGAATTTTGTTGTAACAATTTATATTAAACAGATTTAGTTTTAAGATGACATTTACATTATTTATGTTTTTCAGTAGTCGAATTTTACTGAGGTTGAACAATTATTTTGTTACTTTTTAATTCCCATCTCTTGGAAGCATTAAAAATCTTCCAAGCATTAAAAAATAATTGGAGTTAAATTTTTAATAAAACCATTAAAAACCATTAAAAAATAATTGGAGTTAAATTTTTAATAAAACCATTTTAAATAGTCATTTAAGTTGACATTTATCAAATTTTTGTAATAATGTTCTTTGCAAATGTTATTTATTATTTATTTATTTTTTGTAAATTAGTAAGTAATGGTAAGTGCCCTCACATGATGTTATATGAAGTTTAATGCGAAATTTGAAACTAGTAAAGCAGTTTTTTTATCTAGAAAGAACTGATATATTTCAGAGTGATTTGTTTATGTGATTACAGCAAGCTGCGAGGGCTATCTGCCTAAGGGAACGGATGCCTTTGTGGAGGGCTTTCTAAGGGAAATATGCTCATATATATGTTACACTTGGGGAAACCATGAAAATGTCCATGCAGCCAGCCCGTTCACAGGATTTGAACCTCAGACCGAACTGTCTGTGTTCAGCAACTTTACCGGTTGGCTGCTGGTGGGCCTATTTTAGAGTGATACTTAATGTAATTCTTGGAAACAAAATTTATCTTGTATTTGTATGTCTTCATTTATCATAACCTTCAGGTAGTAAGTTAATAGAATACGAGACACTGGTATTTAAATACACCTGGGTTTGATTTCAGTGTTTATTGATTTGAAATAGTTCCTTGCAGTAATTTTGAAAAATCTTTGTGGTTGAAAGCTGTCAAAGAGTTAGAGCAGGACAAATAATCAAAGTAGCAGCAAGACAGTCTGTGTTCTCTGGCTGTATTTTGCACTTTTAATTGTGATGCTTTGAATTATAAAATAGTTCTTATTAATTTGCATCCTTGAATAGTAGTTCTTTAAAGAAAATCATAAATATATGCTAAATATTTAAATGATGCAGTTACAGGATTCTGTATGCTACTTTTGATAATGAAAAAGTATGTTGTGTAATATTTAATAGTAGATTTTGTAAATTCTTTTTTTAATTGCAGAGCTTCATTTATCTACATTTTTTATGAATTTATATATTTTTTAAGTGTTAACAATTTATTTATCTTCTTATTTGTTAAAATAAAACTGTTATACTTGTATATATTGATTTCACCTATCTTTGTTTGTATGTGCTTTTAAATTTCAAAAATCATTTCACATGTAACTAATTTTATATGTTCATAAGTATAGTGTTTATCGACATAGGTTATATATTACATTACCATTCAGTTTTCCATGTTCGTTTTATGTTGTAAAGATTCCTGTAGTGCTTCTTGATACAAGGCTAAATTTTTGGAAATTTGAAAGATAGAAAAGGGAATCAAAAATATTTTGATTTTTAAGCTTTTAAAGGTATTGCCATTGGTACAATATCTGTGATGAATTAATGGGATTGAATTCAGAGTCACTTTAATTCTGCAGTAAAAGTTTCATTTCTTGTATAGCAAATCATGGAGATTACATGTTTTTTTCTTTCTGTTGTGGGTAATCAAGATGTAATTACTTGTCCTTTTTAGTGAGTATGAATACATGTATATTATGGATTTTTTTGTAGCTCTTTATCATGTAATAAATATCCTGTGTCTCTGTTACAGGTGTAGAAAGCAGTGCATCTTTTCATACCTGACAAGCAGTATTGATTTCTGTTAACCTTTAATTTTACACACTAGTTTATGATAAATAGCATTATTCATATTTAACCCATTAATGACTGTACTAACTTTCACTTGAAGGAAATGAACAAAAATAATTTTTTGGGTGTATTAGTCTAAGAGAAAAAAATGTCACGGGGAAAAAAATATATGTATTTTATACATAAGATGCAAAATATTGCGAAAACGCAACTTCATTCAAAACCGATTACTTTAAGGATACATGGAAATCTCTAAAACATTTGCTGTGCAAAGGTACATTACATTTAATACAAACAGTTATTGTTTATTGTTTGTTGAATTTTTTCGATAATCTGATTTGTGGGATTCCTTTTTTGTTTCGCTTAAAGCTAAAATCTGAAAGAATGATGGTTGGTCAACACTATGAGTACATGAAGGTGAAGGCTGCAAATTGTCAAAATATTCCTCCCTTGTTTTCAGCAATGCCAGTGCAACATGTCTTTGAAAATCTAACAGGGAAATTTTGGTGTCTACAGCAGTATTATAAAGTTTCCATGCATTTGTTTTAGCTACATCAGTAAAATTCATGAAAATAGGTTACCACCATTTCTTACCTTTTACTTGCATTCTATACATTACAACAAAATTGTCCAGAAGATCGACGCTACCCATATATTTCTTATAATTTGCGATGAGTTTGGGTTGTTTCATAGATACAGTACCTCTTATGTACTGAAGGTGGAACGATCATATCAAAATTAGTTGCCATAGTTACGACGGAATTGTCATTCCATCCGAACTACTACAATGCCATTCTCCTTATGAAATGCAGTGTCATATGTTCCCTGTTCTTCTTTTTTCATTTTGTTTATGGATGCAGTAGGACATTTTCCTAATCTGTTCTCATGAATTTTTTCAGTGGCATGAAGTCCCAGCTCCATTCAATTCCAACAACCTCATATGTAACATAAAAAAATTGTCAAAATATATGTAATGATTTGATGGAACTTCCACCACACTGAAGAGATGCGTTACAACGTCTCCACCTAGCTTAAGTTCATTCAATTTCTTTGCAAATTTTTCTGAGTATATATCAAAATGATATATATTTATATCATTGTGAATTTGATAATGAAAATTCTGAAGTATCATTTTCATGTAACATCTTCATAAATTCTAATGCTTCATTTAATGTCAAAAACCATTGTCTTGAAAGTCCATTACTTTGGAACTGTTGTTTTGCGGAATCTGTAAAAGAAAATATCACTATCTATGAAATTTGTATACAGTCATAAGGACACCACTTTGAACTGACGTTGCGTTTCTGCAACATTTTCAAAAATGCTTATTTATTCCAGCAAAGACAAAATAATAACCTTATCTTTCGACTCTATTTGATTATCTAATGTTTCTAGAAGACTGTCATGTGTTCATAAAAGAGAGTTTGCCAACTCTCCAGATTTAAGTAGCAGACTCCCTATTTTAGACTGCTCTCCCGCCAACCTGATTTATAATATATTTCTCCCGACTTTTTCTTATTCTTTAAAATTTCTCACGATTTTTATGGAACTTGGCTTAATACTTCATTATATAAATAAAAAGAAAGTGATTTTGGACGTCTGAAAGCAAATGAATTTTCTCTAAATTATATCTAAAACAAAACCTTGCAAATCAGATGAGAATTTCTGCTGAGAATGAGAACATATACATATCCAGAAATGTCATTTTCCAGTTCTCCTCCAATGGGCATCGAGCTCCACTGCATGTCATCTGTCATGTATTAGCCAATGAGCACAAAGCAAGCTCAAGGCTGTTATTTGGATGTTCTTTAGTTATTTCGTTCATCTTGTCCTGAGTACACATGCCTTTGGGAAATAGTTTTATAAATTATCATCTTTTGTTATGTCCGCGAGAAAGGTGAAATACTCGTGTACGTTTCAAAAATAGTACACGATTGACTTTCCTTCCATTATTTCCTCCAGGAAATGTAATAAATTTGCGATGTGTACTGCCTGTCGTTGCGATTTTTCGATTTCGCAAGGTGGAAGGGCAGATGTTCTCAAACATGTACGTACACAAAAACACAAGGACAACATTAGTTGTTTTGAAAAAAAAAAATTAAATTTTTCTCCGGAAACAAAGGACCAAAAAGTTATTAATGCAGAATGTCTGTTCTCTGCCTTTTTTACTGGAGCACAACCTGCCACTGAATGCATCGGATAACACTGCAGCTTTATTTAGAAAAATGTTTCCCGATAGTGAAATTGCTAAGAAATACTCAACTGCAAGGACCAAAACAGGTACAATTGTTAAAGAAATGGGTTTGAAAAATAAATCTTCAGCTATTGGTTGCATTAAAACAGCTCCATTCTGCCTCTCTACATAATACGTTTGAATCAGTATTATGGAAGCAATAATACTGATTCAAAACTGTATCCAATTGTTGTTTCTTTTTTTAATCCAGACTCTTCAGAAACTGAGTGCAGTTTACTTTCTGTCCCCACTTTAGAAGGAAGTACAGCTAATTATTAAAACTTTAAAAGAAAATGCAGGCCCTCTGGAAAATTGCTTAGCACTTGGTGCCGATAATGCACCAGTAATAGTAGGCTTGAAGACTGGTGTTGCAGGCATCTTAAGAAAGGAAAGTTCAGATTTGCAGATTATGAGGTGCACCTGTCACTTCTTAAATTTAGCAGTTGAAAAATGGGCAGCTTCTTTACCAGTAAATGTGGATGAACACATTGTTGATATATATTATTATCTTGAAAGGAGTTCTAAAAGGAAGGAAAAATTGAAACAGTTCCCAACAGCTGCAAAATACTGAAATGAGAAAAATTTTGAAACGTTTGTACACGCTGGCTGTCTTTAAAGAAATGCTTATCTAGAATCCTCAATCAATGGAACCCACTTCTTGCATTTTTTAAAGAAGTAAATGCTTCGAGAGTTAAGATAAATGGCTCTATTGAAAGTTATAAAATACCTTAAGTAAATAGAGATGTAATTATTACTTCCATTGTTAAAAATAGGTTTGAGAAAAATAAAGTAATTTCTGTACCATTCAGCAATTCAACTCGCAGTTCTCAAAATAATACTGCAAAATATAAGCGTAAAGCTGATACAAATTCCTCTCAAAGTAAAAAAAATTGCTCAACACACGAAACATTTTCCGATTACTGTAAGTTTATCTTTTGAAGAACGAATATTTATGTTTTTTCCTTCGGACCTTAACAAAGCTTTTTGCCTTTTTTATACAATTCATTTTGCTATCATTTGATGTTAACACAGTTCTTCAAAGCAGAATTCCATTAATTCATGTTTTGCAATCAGTGATTTATGAGCTGTTTAAAGATATTTTATCAAAGTTTGTAAAACCAGTCTGTGTTTTTCTTGTAATTCTATGTATGATGTGATTTATGGTGAAATAGAAAATCAGAAGAAAGATGAAGATTTGGTAATAGGTGTGTGTGTGTGATTATGGCAAAGCCTCGAGGGCTATCTGCCTAAGGGAAGGGATGCCTTCAAGGAGGACTTTCTAAGGGAAACTGACTCGTATACACGTTACAGATGGGGAAAACGCCCGTGCAGTCAGCCCATTCGCGGGATTTGAATCTCGGGCCGAACTACCAGTGTTCAGCGACTTTACTGCTCGGCCGCTGGTGGGCCAATTTGGTAATAGGAGCTGCAACTACAAAAGTAGTGGAAGAACTTTCAGAAAACAAAAATAAGTTTTATCTTCATGTTAGAAGTTACTTCTGTCGAGTATGTGATTACATATACTACATGAATTTCCAGTCAACAATGAAGTGATTTTGCATGCTAAAGTTGCTGATGTTTCTGACCTAACACATGCATCTTTTTCTTATATAAGGTACTTTTTGATCAGATTTTCTGTGTTACTTCATTTAGTCATGAAAGATGATGATATTGATGTTGCCACTGATAATATTGCTGATAATATTGCAGTCACAATTTTGCAGTTTACAATTAGAAAACTCGTATGAAGTTATAAAGTCAGCTAGGATTGACACCCAGTGGAGTTTAATTGGAAAACTGAAAGGTGCTGATGGAATTTTAAAATATAGTGAACTGCCTAGAATTATGTTGGCCATTTTTACAGTTCCCCATAGTAATGCAGAGTGTGAGATGATTTTCAGTGTTTTTGCGAAAACGAGGACTAAATTCAGATTTAATATTAGTGATGACACATTAGAAAAACTTTTATTAGCGAAAGCAGTCCTACATGGTAATTGCTATGAACAAAATTATGAAGTTTCTTTCTTAATGAAAGCAAAATCTGCCACTGGTCGTAACATTTGTACGAAAACTGATTAAAGTGTCTCTTTTTTTTTTTTTTTTTTTTGTTGTTGTTGTTGTTTTCTTAAACGATGCAAGTAATAAAAATGCTTTTTATGTGTAAGGTATTTTTGTGTTGCTGTATTTAAGAATTAGTAACTTTAAAATTAATTCATTATTAAAAACTATATTTTTATCATTTAGAAAAGTCTTTTTAACATTGTGAAAAATCTCCTGATTTTTGAGTGAAATCAAATTGGCAAGTATAATAAAATCATCATCTCAATGAGATGTACTCTAAGTTGAAAGAAAAAAATTTGCAAAAAAATACCAAAATGATTTTTTATTTTCATAAAAAGTTTTTAAGAGAGAGGAATAATTTTGTTTCCACAAAACATTGAAGCTTTATCTACAATATACAATACTGATAAGGGGAAAAAAAACATTTTATAGAAGATGAAAAAAAGTTTTGACTAATGTTGTGAAAATGCAACTTCAGTTAATGGGTTAAAATAAATTTTATCTCTTGTGGGAGGAAAAGCCTTCTTCCTAGTGTAATTAAGTAGGTAATACTGCTGAATACTAGTAGTTTGAAACAGAGCTGATTATAAGGGTTTACTTATTTATAACGGGAATAATAGTCAGTTCCCTATAGAAAGCCGTCTATTAAGGCATCTCTTCCCTTCAGCCTGTGGTCCTAATATGCTATGAAATATATGCATAGCCTAACCTAAACCTTAGGGAAGAAAAATGCACATGTTGAAATAAAGCTAATTATTTACACAGCTAAATTAAATCAGTGGAACTCTGTATTAAGGTCAATGCATTTCCTCTCCTTTTTTGTTGTGATGGTTTATGCATGAATATTATTTATGAGTTGAACTCTTTTGAATATTTGTTTTTTTTTAATGACCTAGGATCGTTATTTGTTTTGCTCTGGTGCATATGATGGGAAGGTCAATTTATATTCTGCTCAGAGGATGGAGTTATTGATGTGTTATCAAGTGAGTATATTTGTCCCTTCAATTATGTAATTTAGAAGAAATAATAATAGTAAAAAAAAAATTATCACATTTTTCCTGATTAGTTACATTTTAAAAATAACTACGTTTCTGTATAAATTGTAAATATTATTTCAAAGTTATTTCATAAATGAATATGAGGAAATGTGCTCTGCTTGTTTGTATATTGAAGGAAAATGAATTTGATTCATTGGAATTTTCTATTTTATGTTAACTATCTCAAAATGTTTATTATGACAATTAAAAGTCACAAGTAAATGAAATCATCTAATTTTGTCTGAATAATAAAAATATTAGATTCTAGCATTTTGCTGTGGATGGGTGCTTTATCTGATATAGCTTTGAATGTGCAATTGCAGTGATTGTTGTCCCCTTTCTTCCTTCAGTAAAGATAAATTTCTATTTAGGCTTATTGTTGATTATGGTAATTTAAATTTATGTAATGTTAAGTCAAAGCAAGTTGCAGTGAATAAATTATATTAACTCAAAAATTGTGCTAAATAGAACCACATGAGGCTGGAATCTAAGTATCTAATGCTTAGTTTAAAACTTTCATCTTAGACTTCTACTAGAAATAAAAATGGGCATAAAATCTCTGGTGTTCAATGATTTTATTTATTTTACAACTAATAAGCCAAACTAATGATCACGGTGAATTTGGATTATTCTACTGTGCTTAGTTTAGGCAACATCTGTCTAAAATATAGTGCTGCTGCTTTGGTCTTTTAAAAACTGGTTTGTTTATATAACGGAGGTAGTGCTATAAACAATGTTGCCCACCGAACTGGTTAATAGTTGGTGATGCTGACTGCTGTACCAGTGGGCCCTAGTTCAAAACCCTGGGAAGGTGTTCATGTTTGCATCTGCTGAGTGTCTGTGCAGCAAGGGGTACTCAAAATACATAGCAAGTCAAAAGCCCTTTTGTGATGTTGATGGTAGGAGAAGTGGGATGGGGGACCTGTTGGCCCACACCATCCTCTGTGTGTGTTCTCTCTAAATTGGAGGGAGAACTGCTCAATAGTTAGTGTGATGTGACTATACCTGTGTGACCAGTGGTAGAATTCTGGTGTCCTATTACCTGCTTCTGCCTGTTCCTACAAACATTGTCTATAAAAGTCCTTATACAGCCTGTATTTTTACAACTGTTGGTTGTAGATGTATACTGCCAGTTATAAAAATGCTTTATATGATGTAGGTATTTGTGAATTGCATTTTTTATTTTGGTTATTTTCTGTTAATGAAGCAGCAGCTGTAATTGTGTATTAAAGTGCCAACTGTGGAGGTGTACTTATATCACATCACAAGTAGCTGTGCAGTGTCTTTGAATGAAAAGCAAGAATGAACGTCAATCCAGTAATTTTCCGTACTACATTTTTTAGTTGCTTTTTTTTGTTGGTATTTTGATTTTGAAGAAATGAACTGTTGTAAAGTTGTGAGGCAACACAAAATGACAAAATTATGCATCACTAACTGCTGTTACCTAATTTTCTATTGAATGAAATTCATGTAGTGGCTCTTTCATGGAGATTCAGATGTTTTCAGCAATATTAAATGAAGTATATAATTTTTGTCAGTAACAGGTTTATGTCTGCTGTGTAATTTGAAATTATTGGTAAATCTGTTATGTATTTTTTCTCTATTTTTTTTTTTTCTATTTATTCTGGATTTAATAAAATAAATCATTCTTTTCATGAAGCTGCACATATTGTTAGAGTTGCTATATAGTTAGCTTTTATGCCAAAGTTTGTGTTTGATTCTAAGTAGCATTTTGTTAACAGAAAAGAACTAAAAATATTTTTTAACTGTTATGTTATGTTACTGTTATGTAATGCATTCTTTTTATTGTAGATATCAACATTAGGATTAGCTCGAAATGTCAATGCTGTTCGATTTACCAGTGATGGATCTAGGGTAAATAATTATTTTATTTTAACAATGCAGCTTTGTATATTTGTTATAACTTTACAGCTTTCTAAATTTCTTTAAGAAAGTTTTTAAAATTGGGATATTATTTATGACACTATCGTCCTGTTTTTATTATAATCTGCTGATTTCCTTCAGAATCTTAGAAGTGCCTGAAAGAAGTTCAGTGCAAGAAACTTCTATTCAGTTTTGTCTATTAAATAGTCTGTGTGTGTCTTATGTGCGTGTGTGCTTTAAGCAGCTTTTATTTTTAAAAATTATCTGTGAATTGTCACATGCTGTTGTTTGTTTGTGAGAAGTTTTGTTAACTTCACCAATGCTGTGGTATTTTACTGAAACTGTGGGTGTCTGAACTTGTATTTTTTGTGTGAGTTTTTAATTCAGATTTCATCATTCTGAAACTTTAACATGCCACTTTAAAAATTACATTTTTAAGCTTACTTAATAATTAGTTGCCTATTTAATTTAAAATTTGTCAATATTTACATATATTTGTCAAAGTGTTCTGACACAAATTGAAATAATGGGATATAATATCTGAATTACAGGAAAATCATTGAAAGAGGTTTAAAAATGTGATATTTGAATTTACCATTCACATTTTATTACTTGCTGACATGCAGGTCTTTGTTAAAAAGATAATGTAGAATTATTGAATCTATAAAGCTGTAAAAATTTCTTACTAAATTATCTGTTTCTCTTTATAAGAAGTTTATTATTTTCTGAAGAGAATAAAGTGCATATATATATATATATACGAATGAAGACACATGCATGGAAGTATTAGAAGAAAACCAAGTTAAGGCAACATTTGTGTAAATACCAGGTTATGCTCACTTTCCATACTTTGTTTAATCTTTATTAATGAAGCTGAATAGGAGTTTAAGGTACAATTTCATCGTTGTTCTTTATTTTTTCATTTGACAGCCTGTAGCATACATTCAGTTTTAATATTCTTGATAAATTGCTGTATTTCAAATTTATAGCATATTTTAGGATTAAAAATATCCATTGTCATAGTGATTATGTTCCTTCACATTTTCTCTTGGCCCATTATTTTATATGGATGATTTATAATATCAACAACATCATCTAAGATTCTTTTAATTTCTGCACCCACTCCCTTCATTAAATAAGTGCAGTCTTACATATATTTTTCAAAGTACTTTTCCATAAGCAGAACTCTAAAATTACATTATCTAGTTATGATCTTTGATTTATAAATTACTTTATTTTTTATGATCTTGTTTGATTTCAAAAAGGATAAAAATGCATGGGCTATGACTCTGAGATATTCTAAGAATTGTAATGTTGAATGCTTTCAGGTTAATTTTTTTGTAGTAAGTTAAGACAAAATAAAATGCAGAAAAAGTAAAGTGAATCAGAAATGTGTCTTTAAAAAGGGCATTTATATATGGAGAAAATGAACTGCATTACTAAATTCATCAAAAACTAATATTAAATGCATTAATCCATAATATGCAGTGAAAGTAACACTAATTAGTAGGTGAATTTTTAGATAATTGATTGGAAAAGTTATTTAATTTTTTTTTCTTCATTTGAGATGAGTTTCTTGGTATGTGGCACAGTTCACACACTTTTTTTGCAATCTTATGCAATAGGTATGTGCCAACCATGTCAGATGCATTATTTTGAGAAAGAGAACTTAAGTGCTTTTTTCATTTATGTAAGGACATCAGTAAGGAAGAGAATGTTATGTTTAATTCCAGTAAGCTGAAGTGAATTCAAAGCATAGAAAAAATATGGCATACGATGTGACGTTTTGTTTGGCATCATCAGCTGCCAGGCAAAAAAATTTTTATGGTTGCCTAGAGTGAAGTCATGTTATTTGAATATTGCAAAGCACAGAAAGGCTGTGTAGCTTTCTTAGGATTCTTAGTTCCAATATGAACATTACATATAACAGGTCACATGGGCTAAGCCCTTAGGTTTTTTTGGAATTGATTTTTAGTTTAAGAACTAAAGTCCTTAATTTCTGGCCAAAATCAAGATAAGGTCCTTAATTTTAATTATCTAAAATTTCTGTCTGTTTTTACGATTGCCATTTTGAGTACGAATGAGCATTTTGAAGAAATATTGTTTTGCGATTCATTGAAAAATATGATTATCTTTTGAATGGGCCATAATTTGTTCATATCTCTAATACAAATAGTACAAATAGTACTTAAGTTTTGTGGCAAGAAATGAAATGTAAGCCTTTCGAAATCCTTTTATTAAATGGTTCTGAATTTGGCGATTTTAAGATCAATTTGTATTGAAAATTTTGATTCCGATATCTGGGAGTTTTTCGATGATTTTTTTTAAAAAACAACATAAAATTGATAAAATTTCATTAAAATAATGGTAATATAATGACATTAAAATAAAACATTTTTTGGTGTCATTATAAAGTATACTTTCCATTTTATTGACTTATTATACAGTATTTTGAATCTGAAAAACAAGGAAGATAATAAATGTTATAAAGCACAGTTTATGAAAGAATTGTTAGCAAAGACATAAAATAGCTATGCAATTAATTAGAAATGTCATTTTCCAAATTATTTCACGGTTAAGAGTTTTCCCATATAATTGTCTCGGAACATGTCAGTTTTCTCTATAAAATTAATTTTACACTTGATTTTTTTTTTCAAAATATTTCTGTCTTTTTTTGCTGTTACAGAAATGGTAGGGGTAATTTTTCTTTCAGATATTAGAAATTTCAATGGAAAGTTTAGAAGGATTTTAAATCCATGATTACAGAAGATTCCAGAAAAATGACAAAGTGAAAAAGGTTTTCATGGTATTAACATGTAATGGATGTATTTTACAAAAAATTTGTCATGAATTTCTTACTTTTTGGAAAACATTTGGAAGCCCAATGAAAACATAAATTTTTGAATGTTTTATTTCTGATAGGTCTTTTTTTAATTCTCTTAGTCTTTCCCATTATTGTTTCTTCTTTTCACTAGACACAAGCATGGATAATATCAAAAATGTGTCTAATTTTCTCACATGGACTAGCATCTATGGATAGGAATTTTTCTATTAACACGTTGAGCTCGCAGCCAAATTTACTATCCTTTACGTTCAGCTGGTAACCAACTGCCGGCTCGTTTCAGTTCAGCCTGTTATCTTGGTTACAAAATCTACTTAATCCAGATTGGTACCCAAAGATTGCGAAAAAAGTGGTTACATGTAATTGTTATGTTGTAATATGTGTAAAGCTAAGCCGTATTTTTGTTTAGAATGTTTCAATAAATTTCATTAAAACTACATTTGATGACATTTCATTGAGACTATATTTATTTTTTAACATTAATACTGTCAGTCCTGAGGACTGATGCCAGCGAAACAAAAATTCCAGTGCCAGTCCCTAGAGATTGGGAGTTCACCAGCGGCCGAGCAGTGTAACGTGTATATGAACCAGTTTCCCTTAGAAAGTCCTTCACAAAAGCATCCTTCCCTTTAGGCAGACAGCCCTCATGTGCTTTGCCATAATTGAATAATCCATCCATCCCTAGGGACAGGTGCCAGGTTTCTCTCTAGGCCACAAGGAAAGTTCACTGATGGTCACCAGGAACAGGCACTGGACTCAATGTGTTAAAGATATTGAAAACAGACAAAGTAAAAGATTTATAAAAGAAAGATAGGTCTCAGTGCATCACACACAGGGCTGGTGCTAGGCATTTTCCCACCTGATGCAATATCTGTGGGTCCTAAATTCTGTTGTAGGCAGATAGCCCTAGTGTGCTTTGCCATAATTAAATACACCACACCACACCTAAATTCTGTTGCTTAGTGTCTTTCTAAATTCTGCTCCCAGTGCCTGTTTTTCTAAAAGTTTTGCCATTTCTAAATTTTGTTGCTTTGTGCATCACTAAATTCTATAAATTTTAAGAAATATTTAAAAAAATTAAATAAAATTTAATAGTGGCCATGTCAATCTATAATGAATAATAATATATAACTATCAAATTTAATTATTTGCATGTAACTGCTGACCTTTAAAAGTTACCTCTGTATGTTGAAGTGAGTTATTATCTTTCATTAATCCTTACCATGGTTACAAGATGCAGAACAAAAATGTAAAAGTTAATGTAAAACTTATTCTTTGTAACTAGTGTGCCTTAAATATTTAAATATTTATAATAAACAATTTACCAGCTCTGTGCTTTAGTGGCTTATTGGAACCTTAAACTGTACTAACTGGATTACAACCTCACGACATTAACCTTAACTGTGTCAAACAGATAGCGTGTAACTGACTTGCCTTACCGTGCCTACATCAAGCTTTCAGGTGTGTTCTGTTCAGCAGGTTTCTCTCTAAGCAAGCAGTTGTGGTTGCAACAGCCACTCTTTTTTTACAAAGCATGCTGCTTATGATTTTACTTCTTATTTTAAGTTATGCCGTTCGACATAAAAATCTGCTTGCTGTGTACTAAGGATCTAGACTGAGCAAGTATGTGATGAAATGAGCCATAAAAGAAAGTCTTCATAAAGTTAACTGTTAGTAAAATGTAAAAAAAAAATGCCATCGATGTTCTTTCAAATATATCCAATTATCATAAGTCTAATAAATTTTATAATGTTAAAAGATGTAATAAAATATAATTATATTAATCTCAAGTTATTTATAATCAGTTTTTACATAGGTATACAAACATGCAAACACCTGAAAATTCCATTAACCAGTGTCCAACTAACACTTTAGTCTGAAATATAAAAATATCAAAATCATGTCACTGTGACTATAATGTCTCGAATCAAGATACCAGATGCTCTGTGTATTAGTACTGCTTTTCTCCACCTGCACAACAGTATAAGTAGCATTCAGATTTAAAATATGTATTGCCAAGTTTGTATGGCTTATACAGTAAAAGTGTTCTTTCAACTACAGCAGAGTTGACCAGATAATAAAAAACACCCTTGTTATGAAAAGTTCCAGACATTTTAAGAAATGTGGATCAGATATTAAAAACAGTATCAAAAAGCCAGACAGTTGGTAACTAAACGTTAAATGCAAACCTTGGTAGAGAGATGAGTTCTAGAATTTCCTTAAGACCACATTTCTTCATCTGGAGCATAAATTTTCAGGCAAACAAAAAACATTCAGAAAATTGCATACAGTCATGAGCAGTATTGCTCCCTTCAGCAGATTGCTGAAGAGATGTCTTTTTATGGAGCTAGGCACATCTTTCTTGGGTACATCAAGATTAGAGATACATCCTCTACAGTGATGAATCAAGATACAATATACAGAATAAGTATGTCGCTCTTATAGGGAGCATGGAGTTCACTATTATCCCTGTATCATATATAATATTCACCTATTCTGTTGAAGGTAAATTTTTGTGTGGGCAGGCATTATGTTGGATAGCTGCATGCTACTCCATCTGTTTTATGTGGGCACTGTGACCACACATCATTATAAGGATGAGATTCTTTTACCTTGTGTGAAGATTTTCTGGGAAGCTCTTGGATAGGATTATTCTTATGAGCAGTGAAACTCAGTTGATGTATGATTTTCTGGAGGAACACTTTTTACTGTATGATATAGTGAGCAAAGTAGCTGGACGTGAATCTTATAGATTATGTTTAGGATGCTCTAGGATGGGCTGTCAGCCAGGAGCCAGGGGCGAATGCACTTCTGAGGGGACTTAATATTTTCAGGGGGTATGCATTCAATCTTTTATTTAGCTATTAACCCTTAGCGCTTCGTTGGATCCGCTATGGAGTCGTCTGTCATTTGTTCCGTAACTCCGCAGGCTCCGCTGCGGAGCCCAATGTTTTTAGCATGATTAGGCTTAAGATGTTACGGAATTGTCGGCGTTGGCAATTGTTATCTGTAGTTAAATTGTGCTCACTCTCACTACAGTTACAATTGAAACATTATTTGACCCATTTTATGGTTAGCAACATGGAGAAAAATAATTATTGTGATGAGAATATAGAGTTGAGTGATAGTGAAGATGTGTTTGATTTTTCATTGTTAGAAGATATTGTGAAAGACAATGTTGATTATAATTCTGACACTTCAAAGTAGTGGTTCCGAAATTATACTACCAAAGGGACAATGAATGGTAGTTATTGAAAGTGAAAGCGAAAGCGAAGAGTTGCTGGAAGACTTAAATGAATGGCGCAATGTCACGGAAAAATTTGATATTCCGGATAGAAAACATTTTAGTGTATTGCCAAAGGTCATTGGACCACAAATTCCTACAAATATTGTACAGCCAACACAACATTTCCAATTATTTTTCACAAACGAACTGGTAAATGAGATTATAAAAGAAACCAACAATTACGCAGAAAATGTTCTAAAGAATAAAGAAATATCTAGTAAGACTATTTGGAAAACGTGGCGTGTGGTGCAAGAGGAAGAATTTGGGGCTTTTATTGGAGTTATCATTAAGATGGGTACGATAACCCCTGGTGAATATGCAGGATTATTGGTCAGTTAAGGAGAATATTCACATCCCTTTTTTTGGTAAAATATTTACAAGAAAAAGATTTATGCAGATATTCTGGATATTCAGCGGCGAAAATGTGCCGGAGTTGCTGGTAGGCAATGGTACAAAAACGTGCGGAGCGCTAAGGGTTAAGTTTTAGTTTATGAATACAAAAATATTCTTTTATTTAAGTTTTGGTATTTATCAACATTTCCTATACTTTATGTTGTTCAATTTATAAAATACATTAAAAAATAATCTAAATAAATATATTTGTGGTTGGGAAGTTGAAGATGATATCCTAGGGTAAATAACATTTCCAAACATTTTCCACACCACAGACATTTAATGAAAATAACGGAAAAAGTACAGATTAAACTGAATAACTGTGCCATTGGATATAAACAAGGTTTTACATAACTTTTATATATTTTAAATAGCTGCCTGGTGCCTACTCGTGCTCGCTATCATACGTAGTTCAGTTACCACCACTGCCTGGAATCATACGGTTCTATAGTTACCACCTTCGCATGGGATCGACATCTGTCTGTATGTCATTCTCCTCTTTCACCTCACTCTCGCTGCAGGCGTAAAGGTGATATGCAGATGGTGTGTAGAACTAATTGTTACCATTATATATGTATTTTTCGTTTTGGAAAAGAGAGAGAGAGGGAATAATTTTCTAGTGATGGTGAAAGGGATACATGGAACAAGGTAGGTTGAAAATCACTGGTCTAGGCAGAGCCTGCTAGAATCCTTCTGGTATAAAAATTCTCGCTTTTTGAGAAGTGAAATTAGTTTCCACGAGCACGGATTAACCTCATTTACGGCATGAGGAGCTGCTGTTAGGCATGCAAAGCTGTGTAGAGATGGCCAATTTTCTTATTAGTTGACTATTCTGGAAATAGAGGCATCGTGTTTTGACATTTTTGGTTTATTAGTACAGTCAAAAGTCGTTAATCCGGACTCGTCGGGACTTTGGCGATTCTGGATTATCGATTTTTCCGGATTACAGACTATCAGCTTAAATCTGGTAAGATGGCATGCAGAAATTATAAAATTAAAAATATGAAACCATAATTTATGAAATAAAGAACAATTATGATCTAAAGGGTATCAAAATTTACAAAAAATAAAAGCTTGATATTTATTTGTTTACTTTATTAAACATTTCTTTCAATGTAAGTTGCTTAAGTTGCTTCGTTTCATGTGATAATACTTTCTCTTTAATTCTGTTAAACAGACATAATTTCTTGTTTAGTTACAAAGTTCCGCTGTTCAAGTCCTATAATTGCAGTGTCGAGAATACCGACTAATTTGTCAATCGAAATTTTTTCGTTTTCAATAACATCTGTGTCACTTTTTTCACTATCGGAAGCGAATTATAATGACGAGGAACTTGATTTAAATCATATCAAAGATGGAGTACATCGAGATGAAATACTACATTTAGTAAGGAATTATAAGCCAAATAAAATAAAAACATCTGCCCTAAAGATAAGGATAGTGCTGACAGATCAACTTCCAATTCATTGCACGCCGCGTTGTTTCCCTCCCCCCGCAGAGCAGCGTGAAATTGATAAACATATTTCGGAATGATTAGATAATCAAAGGATGTGCCTTTATCCATTTTTTGCAGCAATTCCACTTTCTGTTTAATGGACTTTGAAACATACTTTCGCTTTGTAGATCCTTTACATATTAGCAAATATATATCGGAAATTCCATTTGGCATAATCGAAAGTTCAAGCTTACTTTTATAACATTGCTCTAACGGTCTGCAAAAAAATAATAAGCCAGATCCAATTCAAAGATTAGGGAACAACGCAATCTGCAACATTAACTGAATTAGATAATTTTAGCTTAGCTTATACCGTCCGTTATACATTAAACGTGCATGTGTAAACGTATTATGCGCATGCTCATATGCATATTCGTAGCTGTAAATGTCTTACGCGCATGTAAACGCCTATGCGCAGAAAGTTTGTAGCTTTGAGGTCCGGATTATGGGTGTCCGAATTAACGACTTTTGACTGTATATCACAAAACATTTACCTCTTGTTTATTTTCATATGTTACTCAGTGTTTGGGATCAGTGTGCAAAATTTCATGACAATAAACCAATTTTTATTAGCTATCACATGCTTGTGTTTATAAACTTAAATATGGACTTGGTATATTTTTAATATTTAGATTTAATTCAAATATGCATGAATTTAAAAAGCTTTTATCTGAAATGTGTTAATTATAATGAATGTTGGCTTATCATTACAGTGGGCACAATAAATTTTGGTGTATTAACCTATTCAAATAATTTTGAATTGTGTTGATAGAAGAATGTTGTATTGATGCAAATGATATTTCAAGTAGCTGCATAATATTGGTGTCATCTGTGAATCTTATTGCTATGGGAGGCTGATACTTTTGCTTTTTAGAACTTTTTATATGGAATGTTTAAACTCATCAGTCATAATTCTGTATAATATTTTCCATTTTGCATTTAATAATAAATATAGTAATTTACTGCAAAGTCATTGTTTTCTGAAGTTAAGATTAGTATCAGTTTCAAATATTTTTTTGGACTGAAATATTTGCTTAGTTTTTCATTCTCAATTAAACATGTGTACTCATTTTTTCATTGTATCATCTATAACGAAATGAAAATTCTCCCAGATCCTTGCATCTACAACTGCTCGAAGACTAGCTGTCATAGATGTGGAGAGAGGAGAGCAAGTTATGTCTTATGATAACTGTAAGTTCTTTGAATGATCCTCATTCACTTATTATTTCTGTACTTAAATACTAAAACTTTGCACTTTTTGAAACTTTTGTAAAGGTGCCTTTAATGGAAGAGATCGTGCTGGATTAGCTGCAGATCCAGTCTGTCCTAATATGGCTGTCTGTAGTTGTGTTAATGGAAAAGTATGTATCTTGTGCAGAAATCCAATTGCTTTAATTATTTTTCTGCCTATGCATTAATTTTTACTTTTTTTATTTCTAGGGGCTTACATTGTTTGATCTTAGGATGCCACTTCCCTTGGATTTTGTTTATGATGTAAGAGAAAGCAAATAAATCTAGCATTATTCTGACAAATTCTATTTGTTGAAATTGTTTTATAGTACTTTAATAAATGTACATAAAATGATATTTTAAGCTTTCAATCTCTTTTTATATACAGTTATAAAACATTTAATGGGTTATTGAGCTCTAATTACTTTTAAAATCACTAAACCTGGTAGATGAGTAGCATAACTCTCATGCTATAATTCTGTTAATAATTTTTCTGTACATGGCGAAATATCATCAATATCAAAATTTTCAAGGTAGCTTTTATGCTCATATTTATATGCTTAGCTTTTTCTCCTCTGTTAAAGCTCTTTAAATTATCTCTTTTATATACAGTAGTAGGTGATGCCAAAAATTCGAATTGTTGGTTCTGTTTGCCTTTCCAACCAAAATGGAATAGAATACTATGCTTTCAATCATAGAATGTCTTCTCTTCGAAGGATTATGGGTACACATGTTCACCTTTTTTGAAAAGGCTGAAAGAGAGTGTAAGGGTTTCTTTCAGTCCAAAGAACAGCATCTACATGCAGACAATGTAGAATGTATGATCATAATCAAAATGGTGAAATAAGCAGTAATACATTGTAATCATCAATTATATCTTCTTTCTTATCAGAGTTCATATGACAGTCTGTTTTATGCTATTTCGAGCATGAGTTCTGAACAATACTCAGCACAAATAAAAAAATCAGATTTTATTGGCTAAAGGTGCTAGTAGATTGTTTTCAATATATCAGTGAACAACCAAATAACTAACAAATATCAGTTACTTTATATTCTAAGACAGTTCATGACAAACCTTTGAACTCTGCAACCTGCAAATTAGAGATGGACAAAACGGCTCATTTAAGGGATCAGATCGGAAGCATTCTCTTACTGAAGTGAATCAGCTCTTTTTAACGATTCAACACTCTTTGACAGCGACCTTGATGAATTGGAACCTGGCATGAATCAAGAGTGGTATGCAGAGATGGGGGTAAAGCAGAAAGAACTGAACAAAGAGTGGGTTCACTGGAAACCAAACTGCTCTTTCCCTGGACTAATTTCTTTCAACTGTACTTTTGAGATTTCCATCAAGAACTTTTTTTCATAGAACAACAGTAAATTTTTGGAATAAAAAATGCTAAAATATAAAAGATAATGCATTATATAAGAATAATGATTATATAATATAATGATTAGCATTATATAAGAATCATGATAGGGAATAGTTTTGAAATTACCCATTTGGAAAAGAATTATTATAAACGTGTTACTCTTTTGGGGATAGAAAAGAGAAATAATCAGATTAAAAGAGAGACTTATGCGTAACTGAAAATTAATTAAAGTGGCAGTTTTGATGTAATCAGTGTATGTATAATATAACTACAAAATTTGGGGAAGTTGTAGAGAGTAGAAATGGGATAAATATTCAGTAGGTGCATTTATTCAGTTGTACAAGAAAGAATAAATAAATAAATAAATAAGCAAATGAAACGTTTTTCTACAAAAGATAAGCTACAAGATTTCAAAGGTTAGGTTAGGTTAGGTTATTTAATTATGGCAAAGCCTCGAGGGCTATCTGCCTAAGGGGAGGAATGTCTTCGTGGAGGACTTTTTAAGGGAAACTGGCTTGTGTACACGTTACACATGGGGAAAAGAAAACCATGAAAACACCCATGCAGCCAGCCCGTTCGCGGGATTCGAACCTCGGACCGAACTACCAGCGTTCAGCGACTTTACCACTCGGCCGCTGGTGGCCAGATTTCAAAAGAAAACATTTTAATAAATTCTGAAGCATAATAGTTATGATAAAGAGAAATATTCAGAATATTAGTGCAAATAAGCATGGAATTTATTGCTAAGATTGTACTGCATTTTCTGTATAAAACATAGAAACCTGTACTTAGTCCCATCACTCATCTCTGGACCAAGTACTACAACTTCTGCAAGTGTTAGCTGTAACAACAATGCTTTGTAAAGTGGTCCATAGTTGGAGGGAAACTGCAGTCAGCATTAAATTTCATGCTAGTTGTGCAATTTTGGTGTTGAATATCTTATTTTATAAAGTAATTTTCCTTCTAATAATCATAGACATAAATGATACATAATTACAAGTTGTGCATCAGCTGCTTTACAAACAAATACATAAATACAAGTTGTGCATCAGTTGCTTTACAAACAGATACATGAATACAAGTTGTGCTTCAGCTGCTTTACAAACATGATTATAAAAAAAAAAAAAAAAAAAAACACCCTTCAGAAAGCATTTATTAGTGACTAAAGAAAAAGCATATTTTTTAATTGAAATGCTAGACTTTATATTTCTGTATAAGAGTTAAGGAATATAAAAGGGCATGTTTTCTTCAAATGATTCTGAATAAAAGAAATAATCTTGTTAGAGTGAAAAACCAGTTTGGTATTTTGAAATAGGTGCTTAAGCTTGAGAATTCATTGGCAAGGTTGTAGTAAAGGAATAGGAGTAGTTATCAGTGATTTCTTTGTTGTAGCATTAAGGTTAGACACAAAAGTGTTAAGTTAGGATTTTTTGCAACCATGTTTGTTGCAAAAAAAATTTTTTTTAAGGAAAGCATTAATTGTGATTGTTTCAAAAAGTGATGCCATAATCATTATGATCTCAAATAATGCTTCAGCTTATGAGAAATGGGAGAACAGTAAGACAGAACGATTTTTGGAAGGATGTGTATCAGAACTGAAAGTTTAATGAGTTTGGTTTGTATTACCAGTATGTGGTGTTTTTTTTGGGGGGGGAGGAGAATAAAATAGCTAATTTGAATTGCTTAATATTGCGTAAATTAGTTGAATTGCTAAATTTTTTTAGACATGGATTCTTTATCAATTTTTTTATATGCAATGTGTAATGTAACTGAAGAAGAATTGGCTAATTATTTAAATAAAAAGAAACATATTTAAACAGTGTAATAAGAAGGTGTATCGTTAATTCATCGATATGCAAGAAATTTGTGGATAATGCATTTGAAACATTTCTTGCTTACTTGTTACTTTAGTGATTTCTATTTAATGTTTTATGACATATTTCATATTTGGCCCAAGATAAATCAAAATTTGAAGAGAGTAATGTAAATCATGAGAAAAGTTTACTTTCTTTAGGAGTGCATTATCTGTTTTGTGTACCATTTCACTCCAATATATTGTATTAACCCTTAGCGCTCCGCACGTTTTTGTACCACTGCCTACCAGCAACTCCGGCACATTTTCGCAGGATCCGGTGTTTTTAAATGCAGCATCCAGAATATCTGCATAAATCTCTTTCATGTAAATATTTTACCAAAGAAAGGGATATGACTATTCTCCATAACTGACCAATAATCCTGCATATTTGCCAGGGGTTATCGTACCCATATTAATGATAACTCCAATAAAAGCCCAAAACTCATCCTCTTCCACCACACGCCACGTTTTCCAAATAGAATTACTAGATATTTCTTTATTCTTTAGAACATTTTCTGCGTAATTGTTGGATTCTTTTTATAATCTCATTTACCAGTTCGTTTGTGAAAAATAATTTGAAATATTGTGTTGGCTGTACAATATTTGTAGGAATTTGTGGTTCAATGACCTTTGCGATACACTAAAATGTATTCTGTCTGGAATATCTAATTCTTCTGTGACATCGCGCCATTCATCTAAGTCTTCTGGCGACACTTCGCTTTCAATAACTACTATTCGTCGTCTCTTTGGTAGTATAATTTCGGAACCACTACATGAAGTGTCAGAATTATAATCAACATTGTCTTCCACAATATCTTCTAACAATGAGAAATCAAACACATCTTCACTATCACTCGACTCTATATTCTCGTCACAATAATTATTTTTCTTCATGTTGCTGACCATAAAATGGGTGAAATAATGTTTCAGTTGTAACAGTAGCGAGACTGAGCATGTTTTATCTACAGATAACAATTGCCAATGCCGCTGATTCCGTAACATCTTAAGGCTAATCACGCTAAAAACATTGGGATCCACAGTGTAGCCAATGGAGTTATGGAACAAATGACGGACGGCTCCGCAGTGGAGCCTACGGAGTTACGGAACAAATGACGGACCGCTTCATAGCGGAGCCAACAGAGCGCTAAGGGTTAAATTACTAAGCATTGTTAAAACTACTGTAATCTCTTTCAAGTAACAGATAATGTTTATATTTTGCATGAAGATAAAATTTATGCTTTGCTGTGTATTTTAAAAGGTTTTATGCATTCTGATGTCTGCTAAATGGAATAATAATTACATGCTTGCTTTCTTTCAGTTACACACTAATGTTATAAGAGATATCACATTCGTCCATAGTAGTTGGCCCTTTGTTAGAAGCCAGCAGAGTGCTATTCTTTCCCTTTCTTGTGATGGCGTTTGCAAGGTAATCTGGATCCAAAATTTTTATTTCCAGAAATTTGTGTTCAAATTATGTTATTTTTAAAAGATGGTATGAAACCTAAAACTTTGTCAAATCTGAATCCGAATCGTAAAGTCTTGTAAGAAGAAAAAATGGGGAAAACTTATTTAAATTTACTGATCAAGGCAGAATCTACATTTAACGAAAAACCAGTTTAAGAATGTGGCTGTTATAAATATATATGCATTTTTTTCAAAACAATATAAATGATATTTAGTAAAAGAAATATGTAATTACAACCCTTGAAGAAAATTTTCTCAATTGAATTTTATAGGAAACATTTGAATAATAAGATAATTATATTTGAATAATGCTTCATGTTTTTTACATTTTCTCACAGTCTTTCTGAAGTGAAAGCAAGTTTAAAGGAAAAAGATTATTTCAACAGTTAACAGTAGAGGAACACTAAATAAGAAGTGCCCAATTCTTTCCAGAAAATTAAGAATGCAGCTTTCAGGATCACCATAAGGTTATATTCGTATTGCAGATATAATAAAAATGCAAAAGTTGCATTCTTTCTTTTAAACAAATGCCACTGGATAAAACTTATTTTTTAAGAAATTTGTGATGAAGAATTATTTAACAATATTTTAAGTTAGGCTTTTGAATCTCAAATCTTATAAGATTTGTGCAAATCAGGGATTCAATTGTCCCATTCCTAGAAATGTTTAATTCTTTTTTAATTAAAAAAAAATCACAAATCCTCTTTATGTATTTCTATGAAGTACAGTTTGATTCTACCAGAAATTTGAAAGAAAAAAAGTATTGTCTGGGTGATGTTAAACATATATGAAACCAAACTGTACACTATTTTCAAGCAAAGCTGGAAAAAAATCAGTCGATTAAGAATGAGCAGATGTTAGACAAAATAGCTCTTAAGGTTTACTAAATAATACAAATGGTTTTATATAAACTACATTAAATTACAGAGTACAATAACACTTATTCTGCGATATTTTGTGTATCAGATTAAGAAAATCTTAATTAAATTACATGCATGCTTTGCATTTTAACTAAGGAATTTTCCTGATAATCAATTAATCAATTAATTTTCCTGATAATAATGCTGTGTACAAGTGGGTTTCCATTCCTTTTGTTCTGATTGAATTTATGGTTATCACTTAAAGAATAGATTCAAAACATTTTTTTTTTTTTTTTTTTTTTTTAAATTTTTGCAGCAAAGTAATGTATTCTTAGAGAAATTGTACTGTAATTCTTAGCACTGCAGGCCAGTTCCACTAGTGCTTATTTTAAAATTGAGATTAAGACAAAATTTATTGTAATATGTATGTAAAAACCTTTTGAATTTAGAAAACAAGCAAAAGATAACTCATGAAAATGATGTTGCTTATTGAATTTAACTATTATACACATGGTTGCCAAAGCTTAATGCATTTTATATTTCTAAATTCTGATTAAGTCTAATGATTTCAGTTAAGGTGGTTATGCCTTAAAATGAAAGTAGTAATATCATACTGCTATCTGTTATGTGTTATGATTTAGAAATGATTGTTCCTGGGTAAGCTTAGAGTTAGCCAGTCCAGATGTGACAGGCACATATTATTTAGTAAGCCACCTTTCAATTGAAATGGTATGCTGTGTAGAGGTATTATCATACTAAAACCGTCATCTTCACTCATTAAGAGGCCCACAAAATGAGAACAATATTTGTAGAGTGTTTTTTTATATTAAATGGGGGCCTCCAAATATAAATGATTAATCCCAGTGGCCAATCAGGTTTTCTTTGCATAATGTACAACCGTCTATATCAGTAATACTTTTTCATTAATTTTAGTGCAATCTATGGGTTTAATAGTAAAATGTTTTTCTCGAAAAAGTGGCTGTAATAGGATTTGTGTCTTTGATAACATTTGATAATTATATCCTCTGGCAAGGACCTGCCTATTGCAGTCTATTACATCATTGTTTTCTAAGGTAATTTAAATTGTAAAAGCTTTTTTTTGTTGGCATATTAAGTAATGAAGTATTAAGCATATTAAATAATGAAACCTTTATTTATCATAAGTAAATTCTTTCACCTAGAGGGCAAAAAGAAGTAAAGGATTATTACAGGTAAAGAATGGTATTTGTCAAAACATTCTACATACAGGCCTGGTTTATCCTTGTACTCATTAATTGTTTTCTTTCATTTTCTTCTATTGAACAAAGGCGTTTTTCTTTAATCCCTTGTCTGTTGCCTTCATCATGAATTTTTTACAGAAATACAATTTTTGGTTCCAAAGGGCCAGCAGCTGATAATAATGGCGTTTGATGTACTGGGAAAATCTTAGTTATTACCACAATTATAAAATATTTTCAAATGCACAAAACCAGTTGCTCTTTACCAATATTTCTGACATATTTAAGCATTTAGTAAGTGAAAGAAGCTGGCTTTTAACAGTGTGCATGACCCTACATGTCATGGATCTATTGGCAGCGAACTTGTTAACTAACTTTTATTTGCTTTCAAGAACTAAGGATGAGTTCTAACATTGAAGCTAAATTCTCCTGCAGTTATTAATAGTGTACTACCTTGCTGTCTGCTATAAAACTTGCATTTTTCAAGTGATCCTAAGAATAACTTTTCCCCTTCAATATTTAAATGTTATCCTTGATTGCTTATTTTCATCAAACATAGACTTGATTATGTTCTCTTTGCTTTTTATTTAATAAGTTTGCAATTTAATATTTTCTGTCTTGATGCATCAAGGAATTGTGTCTTAAGCACCATATCTAATTTGAAGGGCTAATTCCTCAGTCCTTCCAAAGCCATTGCAGTGACATAATACAACTATAATTAAAGCTTTCAAACAAATACCTGGTCAGTTAGTTTTCTGTGACCTGTTAATAAAATTGAACATGAGTTTCTCTAGATGCTGCAAATTAATTTTTTTTTCTGCCTTGAGATCAAGTAACACACACATACTCTTTCTCTCTACAATCACATAAATGTTCCTATTACTTCGGTTTTCTGATTATTTTTTTTAACTTCTGTCTAAAAATGTCTTGCATTTTCTGTTATCTTTTTAAAATGTAATCCTGGTTTTATAAGAATAGATGAAGGCAATTTATAAAGCTGAATAAAATTATTTCAATATTAATGAATCTATTTTTAAAGCTGAATAAAATTATTTCAGTATTAATGAACATTGTAAAGTGCTTTCAGATTGTCTCTGGGCATGAAAACGTTTAAAGGGCAAATACATTTGACAATAAACTGTAGTCAGATTGCGTCTCTCATGCTGCAGCATAATTGAAAGCAGTGTAGTACTTTTTTGCTTTATTTTAAGGATAGCGGTGATATATATTTTTGATAAATTACACTACTGAAAGTATGAAACACAAAACAACATGCCTTACCAGTGCCTGAGTGGTTGAAACGTCTGAAAATTGGTAATTCACCCTGGGTTTGAAGTCCAACAGGTTAACTGCATGATGGATTTTCATGCATTTTTTTTTTTTTTTTTTTCTGTGAACATTAGCAGTTTACCATAGAAAGCCATCCTGGAAGATATCCCTTTCGTCTGGCAGACAGACCTCACTGCCATGTTTAAATCACAAAATTTAATGATGGAAGGAACAGTTTCAAAACTTTATTAGTGAACACAGGCAAGTAAGAATGTATTTTTTCTCCAAGACATTGTTGATCAGCTAAGGAATTAAGGTAATGTCCATGCAGAACTTGCTTCAAGCATAGGCAGTAAGGGTAACTGCCTGAGGTAGTGATTTTTGGGAGATGCTAACTTAGCAGTTCTCATAATGATCAGTGCTCCAATAACTGAAATGCAGTTGTTGATGATAAGTGTGCTAAGGAGTGACTTATTGTACAGCCCAGTCACATTAGGGAAACAAAAAACACATATTACATATATTAGAAGGTCACCTGTGCCTGCAGAAGTTGACATCTTAGCGCATAGGGCAAAACATGGTAAAACATTCACATATGTTGGCTTGTGAATATTTAAATGTTTTTTCTTTAAAGAGGGGATTGTTTATCTTCTATCGCTATAATTTTACCAAGCTAAACTTTAATTAATCTTATTTTCTTGTCTAAAACTATGTTTGTGCCTTTACTTTTATTTTGCATCAATCTGCTGTAACAGTTATTTTGCTGTATGGTAAAATATTAAATACACTGTCTTTGAATCTCTTCACAACTTATTTTAAACAAAAAATACATACAGATTCAAGTGAAGATCCTGTCTATTTCTGTATTATCATTAATGCCTTCCTCTTTTGCTCACTATTGCTAGAGTAATCATAAAATGAAGAAAATAAAGCCATCTAGATATGGCTATAGGATAGAAGAAGAAATTAAAAAAATTACCTGACACTACATTTTTAAAATGTGAAACATTTTGTGGAAGCCAAAAATTTGGAACGTTTAGTGTTGGGAAGACTTATCTCATGGTAGGAAATAAAAATGTTGATGATGAAAGCACGTCATGGTGAGAATAACTTGAGGAAACATCTCAGGTATAATGTTATGACAATTGAGTATCCACTGATGAAACTGTTCAAGTTCTATCATATGCAGGCAGCCAGAAAAAGCACAAATCTGAGTATCATGCTTCCAGCACAGAGATGAAGACCCCAAAAAAAGATTTATGCAATCTACTTATGTGGCAGTTAGAAATAGATGTTAGATATCAAAACTGTCTAAATAAGTTCTAAAGAGACTAATGAAAATTCTTCAGTATCATGCAATCACTAGCTTGGCTCTGAATGGAGCCACCAACAAATTATTTGGAGAAGGAAATTAAAATTTTCTTCAGCTTGACCATTGAATTACTTGGGCAATTTAAGCCTGTAATTCAGGAGCACATCTGAAGAGCTATAAAAAAAGCAAATGAAGCAAGCTCACCATTTAGGAAAGAAATTCAAAATGAAATTCGTATTTTAATAGGAACATAGGTTAGAGAAGAGATAAAATGCTACGTAGTTATGACAAACTGTTATTTGAT